TTAAAGTATGGATTTTTAAAAAAAATTTTAGCAGGCAATTAATGCTTAGGTTTAGATGACAAACTCTGTCTTTTGGGCTGAAGCTCAAATCTTTAGTTATTTTACACTTAACTAGGCCTTTGGGGGCTTTTCCCTGCACGTGTGTATGGTTCATTGGTCAACAATATATTTGAACTGAATATATACAGAACCAGGGCTCCTCCATTCTGACTCTCTTTTTTCCAGGACACCCCTGTTACTTGCCAGTGGTTTTGGTTCTTTTGTCCTCTCTACACTGCTGCCTCAGGCCAGAAAGGCCGAATGTATTTTATTAGTGTTTTAGTTGTTGTACAGGTTGTGAACTGAAGCATGCCCTCAGTCCAAAAAGCTACAACGAACAGGTAACTCATTTAGTTCCCCTTCCTCCAGAATTCTAAGTGTTGATTCCTCTCCAGAATCAACCTATTTTTGGTCATTTTCCAGTGTTTTCAGGTAGTTATTTGTTTATATTGTATTTTAGTCTATAGTTTATTGTTGTACTCTGCAGAAGAATTGGTCTGGTAGATGGTTATTCAGCCAGTATTAAAAATAGGACTAGAACCCTGGCTGGTGTGGCTCAGTGGATTGAGTGCCAACGTGTGAACCAAAGGGTCACAGCTCAATTCCCAGTCAGGACACATGCCTGGGTTGCAGGCCAGGTCTCCAGTAGGGGGTGCGTGAGAGGCAGTCACATAATGATATTTCTCTCTCTCTCTCCCTTCCTCTCTCTCTAAAAATAAATAAATAAGATCTTTTATAAAATAAAAGTAGGACTAGAATTTTTTTAAGGTAAAAATAGTTGGAAAATAGGAGTTGATAAAGTACAGTCTTAATGTCATCTAATTATTTTATTCAGAAAAAAATAAATTTTGACGTATGTAACACACATGTTAACTGAAGGAATTGTTTTTTCTGACTGCAGAGTCTGCTGAATAAAATATTTGATCTGAATACATTTCCACTGTAAGTGTAGATAGTTTATTTATGTCAGGAAAATTCTTAAGGTTAAAATATATAGGTAGGGAAATAAAGCTTCTGTGTTGCAACTATTGGGTTGACCAAAAAGTCCATATGGTTTTTCCATAAAATAAAGATGCATTTTTCATTTTCACCAATAACTATATTGCTTTGGATATTTTGAGTATGTCGGCTAACTCCCATGTGGTATAACATTGATTGTTCTCAATTAATGCCTCAGTTTGATCACTATCAACTTCTACTGGTCAACCCTACCATGGAGCATCGTCCAGCAAGAAATCTGCATGAAACTTCACTAATCATTTTTTTAATTTTTATTTTATTTTTTTTACGTTACCTTTTACTCCCCTTCTATCCCTTTTTCCCAAGCAATCACCAACACTGTTGTCCATGTCCGTGAGTCCTTTTCCCTTTTTCCCTCAATCCCTCCACCCCCAAACCTCCCCCTCCCCACTAGCTGTCACCCTGCCCTCCATCTTTGAGTCTGTCCCCATTTTCCTTGTTAGTTCAGTTTGTTCAGTAGATTCCACACACGAGTGAAATCGTATGGTATTTGTCTTTCTCTGACTGGCTTATTTCATGTACCAAAATGTTCTCCAGCTCCATCCATACTATCACAAAAGGTAAAATTTTGTTCATTTTTATGTCTGAGTAGTATTCCATTGTGTAGATCCCATAGTCGTTTTATCCATTCATCTATTGATGGACACTTGAGGGGCTTCCATATCTTGGCGATTGTAAATAATGCTGCAGTGCACATAGGGGTGCTTATGTTCTTTCGAATTAGTGTTTTGTGTTCCTTCAAATATATTCCCAGAAGTGGGATTGCTGGGTCAAAAGGCAGATCCATTTTTAATTTTTTGAGCTATCTCCACACTGCTTTCCACAGTGGCTGCACCAGTCTGCACTCCCACCAACAGTGCAAAACGGTTCCCCTTTCTCTAAACCCTCGCCAGCCCTTCTTGTTTGATTTATTGATGATAGAGCCGTTTTTCACAAACCTCTCTTGATATATTCAATGAATCACAGCACCTTCTCCATACACTGTACAAAATTTTTATTGCATTTCAGTTGCATTTTTCCCTTTCTTGAAATAATAAACCATACTATGCTGAAAATGTTGCATATTTTCTTCTATCTTCAATATTAAAATGGCTACATAAAAATTCACCAATTTTGATAAGTTGCTCTTCAAGTGCATGCTGATATGACAGCTATCACAACACCATCTAACAAAATTGTTTTGAATGAAGTTAAAGACAGCTAAGTGCTACTAGAGCCGTCTTACAGAAAACAAATGAACTTTTATTTTTCAGGGAGCTTATATTAGCAGCCATTACATCTTAAAACCTCTATATCTTGATGAAACCTTGAGGTTATTTCCAAGATTGAGTTCTATTGTATATTGTACATTTAATGTTTTTATTTCTGACATATATTGTTTTGATTCAGTTAATATAGTCAAGAAGATAACTTACGAAGTCCTCAAAGTGATCAATTTATAATTAGAAAATTTTTGAAGGATACTTTCCATAAAATTTATATTTTGTATAAAATTTTCACTTTCTACCAAATGTTCCTTTCTTATTTCTTCTTGGTACTTCTTAGGTTCTTTGTGAAACAGAGACAGAATCTGTACTTTGATTTTACATTCAGTTCTTTGCCAGTGGTTTTGCTTTCTGCTCTATCTCCTTTATGTTTTCCTCTTAAAAAAATCAGTTTTTCACTACCTTTAATTTTTTAATCCTTCCGTGTAATTGGAAAGAAAGATTACAAAATTATATACATTATTATTTGATTTTTTTCTCTTTATTGCAACACATTATACATTTGCCAAGCCCTAAACTGAAGAAGTTGTAAAATGTTTTAAGTATTTTGGTGAAAAATTTTTGGTTAATGTTTTAAATATTTTTTTAATGAATTTGAAGAAGTAAAAAGCAACCATACTATATACTCTCATTCTGTTGGGAAGGTCCTGCTTGTTGAATTTGTAGATGTTTCAAGATGATCCAGTTGCCAGGGACTCCTGGCAGTGTCAGAACTGTAGGATGATAAGAGTAATGAAGCTGACAAATAGTTCCGGTATGTAGCCACTTTTGCATGTTCACCTCACCAGAAAACTCTGTGCACTACAGTGGTATTCTGTATTCCTTCTTAAAAATTTAGAGAACTGTTTGTGTACCTTCAGAATAAATTTTGAGGTAACAGAGCCACATAGTGGAGAATATATTTTAATCCAATATAAAATTCTACAAATACTAGTGTATCTTTATTTCTTTTTTTTAATTTTCTTTTAATTTATTTTTTCAAATACATTTGTCTCTGCCTCCCCCCCTCCACTTTCTCTTGCCCCCTCCCTCCTTCCCTCCCTCAGCTCTTCCCCTTTGGTTTTGTCCATGAGTCCTTGCTATATGTTCCTTGACTTTTCCCTTCCCTTCCCTTTCCCTGCACCCCCCACCCCCCACCCCCCGCCCCCGCTCCCTCCTTCCCTCTTGTCTCTGTTGATTTCTTTTCCTTTCAGTGTTGCTGGTCTTATTTTCCTTGCATCTTTGTATTGTTGGTTAGGTTCCGCTTATAGGTGAGATCATATGGTATTTGTCTTTCGCTCCCTGGCTTATTTCACTTAGCATAATGCTCTCCAGTTCCATCCATGCTGTCGCGAAGTTTAGTAGTTCTTTTTTTCTTTCTGCTGCGTAGTATTCCATTGTGTATATGTACCATAATTTTGATCCAATCAGCTACTGATGGGCATTTAGGTTGCTTCCAACACTTGGCTATTACTTCTAAAAGAGGAAAGACAGAACTTAAACTTGAATTCTTAGAACTTTCTGAATAATACAATAATTATTTAACTCTAGGTTTTAGTGTGTTTCTTATTATAAAGCATTGTACTATATGTTTTTTTAATAGCATTCACAAATATGATTCAAACTCTTTTTAATATAGCTTATAAATGGAGGTTTATTTGCTTTTTTTACACTTAATTCTTCAGTTTTTATGTTGTCATAGGTTATAAATCAATATCTTAGGAAATGTATACCCAGTTTGTATTGTATCCTTGGAAAATGTGGTTGTATTAAATCTTTAGAGTAGAGCAATCCATGCTGTGGGTTTTTCTTACTAGGTTATTGATTAATTCTGTGGGATTGGATAAGAATGAAGAAGGTACAATAGAATTCTCTACCATTTTACCATAGCTTACTCTTGTACTTATATAGATGGTGAAGTGGCTATTATTATGAGATTAAGGAGATTGCTTTTTTTGTAATTATTGTTAATTTTAGATTTAATGATGGCACTGTACTTGGGGAAAACTGTGTGTTTATTATGACATATTATAAATAGTATATTGTTACTTGTTGAATAGCACTCTATATTTTTAGGTCATTTGTTAAGTAGAACATTCTATATTATCCAGTAGTATAGGTTTCAAAACTCAAAATATTTAGTAAATTATCAAGGGAAATTAATTAAGGAACAGAACACAATCATTATTGTAATACATTGCTTTAAACATATTATTTTTCTATTTTTAAAGGACATAGAGGCCTATTTGAATATCCTTTTTTTTTCTGTTATCAATGTTCATTTAAATATGAATTTCTTAAATCATCTAGGGTTGCCATCTTAAGCAGGGTAGCTGTATTTTTGAAGTTTTTAAAACTATAATTAATGTAAACAGGCTTATTATACAGATACAAGGGCTTAAAAAACAGGAAAAAAAAAACAACCTGAAAAGCAAATCATTTATTCAGGATTATAGAGTCAATGGCAGGCTTGTAACTAATGCTCAGTTTTGTTTTCTAGCCTTATGTGTAATCCATACCAAATATTTTCTGTTTGGATAATATTGGTCCATTAACTGAAAGATAGTTTATGAATAAACTATGATATTGTCCCACTTTGTAAATCTGCTGGCGTTTTCTTCATTGTAATTAAAAAAAAGAAAAGAAATCATGTTATAGTCACTAATTCTTGCCCCACACCCTTTTTTTCCCCTTTAGAAAAATTGGAAGCTCCACCACCCACCCCAGGACAGCTGAGATATGGTAATGGTTCTATAATTGTTAAGTATTGTGCATCTATTTTTGGACTTGAAGTAACTATTATCATTCATTGATAGTACAAAAGAGTCAATAAATTAATTATTTCCAGATAAGAGGGGGTTATCTTATTTATTATGCTGAAGCAAAAAGTTTTTAAGCTTGGTTTAAGACATATCACAATATTATGGTATTTCTAATATTGTTACCCGTATTTATTCTTGTTTAAATATTTTACCATCTTGAAATAGAATTATACATATCATAGAGATTTTCCTAATTTCCAGGAAAAAGGATATACTTATTTTAGTTTGGATTTAAGTCAGGCAATTGCCCAACTAGAATTACTAGGCTCAGGCAAGGTCGAAATGTTCTCTGGTGGAGACAACCTTTTGGCTGGCTGTTTGTAGTAATGAAGAAAGTACAGTTTGTTTAAAACCACCAGTAAGAAGAACCTTACGTTGCTGCTGGTGTGCTGTCCTTATTCTTTATGATAGGAATACATATTCAAAGGCTAACCCTGAAGTGATGTAAAACAGTTTGGGAGTTTATTATAAAGATAGTGCAAGAAGAGAATTATTTATTAGTGCAGTGAATTTTAGTACGTTTATAAGTTAAAGCTAAATATTAGATGTGTTTTACTGTATACTGCTGAGTTATAGAATAGTATTTCCCAAAGGAAATTGAAGAAATTACAAATTAAAAGGAGATCATTACAAAGTAGAGAACAAACATACAATTTTTTAAAAACGTATTTAATAGTGCTTTTTTCTCTCGGTGGGAGAATCTAATTTGTGTTAGAAATAAGTGACTTTTCCCAAATACCAAAGCAATTTAACAATTCTCTAAGACTTCTCTAGGTAATCTTTCTAATAGCCTATATTCATACATTCTGTATCCATAGCACTATATAATACTTTTATCATTTTTTGGTCATATTGAAATTAACTGTTTACATGAGTGTATTATCATACTCAAACATCTGAGAGCTGATAAACAAGTCTTATTTATCTTTGTATCCCAAGTGCTTAGTGGAGTATTCAGTACATATTTATTTAACCTTTTGAAAAGTATATTTTTCCTTTGGGTTGAAAATAAATTTTTATTTAGAGGCCACATTTATTTAGGTCTAAACATAAAAATTTCATATATTTTGTAAGTCAAAGTTATTATACCAATGTGCCTTGGTTTTATTGATCAAGTTTTTACTGTTGGATTAACAGCAATTAATCTAATCTCAGTTTAATAGCTTTAATGCATAATTTTAAGATATTTGTAACTGGCCAGTTTTAGAGATGCCAAAATGCTAAGTAATCCCAAAGATTTCTAGTTACTTTTGCCATATTAAAATTTAAAAGACAATTGAAAAGATGATTTGGGAGACTTCTTTCCAGAGATATATTTAACTAGTTTTTTCTTTACTGTAAATTGTTTCATTCAGTAAGTTTTAAAAATTTTATTGTACTCTTTTGACCTATCAAATTTGTATTATATTTTTTGGAAATTGGGGTTGTGTATATGTTTTGGCTGCTTATAAAATTTTGAATGTCTAGTAGTTAAGCAACTAGACTGAGGCAAAGAGTCAAAGAAATAAGACTAGACCCTTTAATTGAAAAATCCCAGTTCATTATGTGCTATTTGATTTTTATGATCTTTAATAGGATTTAAAATAATATTCCTTATAATTAAAAAGATGTTGCTTTTTATTTTGGACATTCTCACTTGATAACAAGAAGAAATCTGAAATGACCTGGGACATACACTATTTTCCCTTGATCTTAGTCTTTGATAGTGATTGTGGGTAAAAGTGTTGTGGGTTTTATTTTGGGGGGGTTTTTTGTAGGTATTTTTGGACTATTTATTAGGTTCCCTGATTGGCTCATTTTAGTAATATCAAACTTTCATAAATTCTTGATTATATTTTAATTATACTATATGTGAATGTTGCTGCATAAAAAAAAACTCTAAAGTCACTGAAACTGAACACATAACCAATTGGTTTAAGGGACTTTATGTTTTGGATATACTATAAAACTTAGAGCTTTGATGTTTATCTAAAATAAAAAAACCTCCTTAGTTGAACTGATATTGACTATACCTTGGCAGTTGTATAGATTAATTAGAATAAAGTCTTTTAACTATCCCTAGCTTTTAATCTGTTTCACAATCTGCCTTCAATTCTCTCAATCTGGAATTCTTTCCCTTTCCAGGTTAGTGGTCCTCAACTTAATTAACTAATGTTTATTGATCATCTACTATGCCACTAGGCGTTCTGCAGTGTGCTGAAGATGCCAATATGAAAAAAATGACATGAGTTTATAAAAAGTATGTAGGTATTAGTTCTCTTAGGTACACTCCTATTATCTCAGGTTATTCAGACTATGTACTAGATAGATGAGGTAAGGTGTGCCTGTGGTAGGAAGAGGTCAAGTTACATTTTGATTTAAATAAAATATTGTTTGTTTATAGTTTGTGAAAGCAATCAGGGATACTGATGCATCATGAGGGGAAAAAAGACTTTGCACATAGATACCTACTATAGATGAGATAATCACATTTTTCTAACATTTGTTTTAAGAAAATCCTCAGTAAGTAAAAGTGACCAAATAGCTTCCCTGAAATTTGATTCAGGGACTTTTTTATTATTTCAGATGTGGCGGTCAATTTTATGATATTGGTCTAAGTATAAGAGAAACAGATTCATGTCAATATCAACATGGTATTCATAATATTTATTTGCTTATTTGTTCTGCCATTAACTGTATGTAATTTGTGTGTGTTGCCAATAAGAAAACAGAAAAGCCTAACACAATCGTTTTTACATGTTATGTGTTTTTAATTTTTTTTAATTTTTATTTTTCCTCAGTATAGCTTCTACCAAGTAGCTAAACTTACAGCAGGAGCAGAATCTTTTGGCTATGGGGAATGGAAAGCAAATTCCAAAGCCTATCAGATCTATTTAGGAGACTTTAATCATATGGTTTGTTTTTGTCATTTTAAAATTATGGAAATCTTAAAATATATTTTTCTGTTTTTGATGTTTTTCAGTATTCATCCACAATGCGATACCTTTCATAGGGTTTGGCTTTTTGGATAATGCAATTATGATTGTTGCAGTAAGTTCTTTCTCTCACCCCTTCTATTTTGAGTAAATAAAGAAATTTATGTGCTCTAAATTTTTCTACTAATTTGCATATTGTAGCTATAAAGTTTTAATTAGTATAATGAATGAAGCTATTTTTTACTATATTTTATGTGAATTAGACTATAGCTCAATTTTAAAGCATCATATATCTTAATCATTAAGACTTTTTGGTAAAGCATTGACAATAATAAACACATTTATTGGGTTTATATTATCCTATTCTAGTTTCAACATTCTTATGAAAGAAAAAGTATGTAAAATTTTCTGGTGTTCTTTAATTGTATCAGCAGTTTATATCACATGTTATTAATTAGTTCCTTGTTCAATTTTCCCATGCAAAAATATTTTAAAGGGTGTTTTTATATAGTCTGTCTATCCATTTAACCAGAAGATGTTCTAAATTCCAATTGAGAGTACTGTGAATATATACCTCTTCTGTCTTTGTTTCATTTTTATGTTAAAAAGAGTTTCCTTTTCTGTGGTCAATGTCAGGGTGTTCTTTAAAAGTGTTGAGTCTCAGGGATGGCTGATTACTCTTTTTCACTGTTATGTGACACCTTTTGTTAATAGATCCCAGTATTGGGTTCAGATTATAAAGTCAGAAATAAGTCCATAATTAAAATCTATTTTGAAACTACCCAGTGGTCTATCCACTTCTCTTCACTGACTCTAACTTTAATAAAATTCTATAAATTCTAGCTATTGTGTAGGATAAGGGTCCCCACCCCCTGTTCCTCAAGTGCTCCCCTGAGCTCCTCCTACCCCTACACACCGCCCACCCTTCCTCTCCCCCCACCAATCCATCCAGTGGGAAGGCAAGTGAAGCTCACCCGAGGTCTGCGCTTAAATATAAATAAATAAATAAGTAAATAAATAAAGATTTTTGGATTATTGAATGTGAGGAAGATACATATGAGAGGTGCAAGGTTTTGGGTTGGTTTATTTTTTGGTGTTTTGGACGTCACATGTATTACTACGTCACATGTATTACTACGTCACATGTATTTATGTACAATTATGTACATAAATAGAGTATTTGGTTTCAAAGTAGGAACAAAAGGATAATGAATATACGTTGTATAGATTATAACATTTGCTTAAAGAATATCTAAAATTGGTTCATTCAAGAATGATTTTCTTTGCTATATAGTCTCATTTTATGTCCAGATTGATTGGAATCAGATATCCAGAAAGTCTAGCCATTCACCTGGTTGAGGAATCTGACAGGGCTCACACAGCAGGAAGGTATCCCGCCTCCTAAGTCACAGAAAAGACTCTAACATGTACGCAGCTTGAAGGTATTAAGCACCCATTGGATAATTCCTTCGCAGAGTAGCCTGGCAAAAGCCTCTAAAATGTAATTTCAAAATGCTAATTTTTTGACTGATTTCAACATTTTCCTAATATGTATATAAGAATCAAATTGTCGAATTTATGTATCTGTTAACGAGATAAACTTAGTCATTTAAAATTACACTTTTCTGAAATTACTAAAATCTGAGTTGGTTAAATTATTTAAATAGTTAATGTAAGTCAGATCTAATTGCAATGAAAACCTTATGATGAATTCATAAGCTGTAGTTAAGACTTGTGTTTCTTGAATAGATTCTCTGAATTAAAGTCTCTGTGACAAATATTTCTTTCAGTTTTACACAACTCACTCAATAGTTTAGATTCTCATTATTAACAGCTGCTAGCTCGCATGCTACCATCTTAAAAATCTTTTTTTTTTCCCCACATTAGCAGGGCAGAGCTTATATACTCAAATGCTGAAAGAATGACCTTGCTACAGAGGAGTGCCGAGATGATGTATTTTGCATAAAGAAGGTCTCTGGGAGATTTTCAAGGGAGATCAGAATAGGGAAACTGGGTAGCTTTTTAGATCCTGAGTAAGACCTTCACAGTATGGTCTTACCATTTGTTTGAAATAACTATCTAAAGTAACATATATCTATGATTAAATAGAGCTACCAACAAAACAAAACATCCACATTCTAGAGTCAAATTATTGTATTATTGTTCGCTATTGTGTGTGTTTCAGACCTGCGTCTCACCATTAGTGTGAGAGTGGGCTATTTTGGCAGGCCCCAGATGGTTGACTCCAATTTAGTAATATTTGTTTTTCTAGTTTACATTGAAATCCATTTTCAGGGACTTATCACCAGGTTATCATTTATATAATACCAAGATAAATATTTAAATTGCTGGCTTCAATACCTGATTGAAAGTAATAGGTATGGCAAAAATATTATTCTGTAATAATTGCAAACTAATTCAGGGACAGTGGAATTTTCCAGAGAAGCTTTATAATACACTGCTGAGACTAAAATACATAAATAATATAACTATAGAATCTATGAAAAGGGAAACAAGTGATCATTACTATTATAAGAACTTTTTTACTTAAACAAACACTGATTGCCTCCTAACATTGTGGGACAGCTATGCCTGTTGTAAGATAGTAAATTAGGAAGATATTTGGTTCTGCTTTCCTATCATGCCATAGACATTTGATATTTTCCTCTTTCTGGGGTGTACTCTCTGGGCTGCTGCTACCCTAGCTGTGGTAATAAAAAAAAAAATTTGTATTACTTCCTGTAATAGATTTGACCTTTATTGTTAACTGCTATTTATACTTAGCCTTTGCTTCCATAGTTTTTTTAAACTATATTTTTATGTTATGAGGATTGTTTTTTGTAACTTAGTGGGTTTTTGGATTATTTTTCTTGCAATTTAATTCGGACAGAATTTATTAGAATTCTAGAGTAGATCAATTGCATTAAGGTGATGAACCAGGTCACCTTAACTTAAGATAACTAGTGTTTGATTTGTTTATAATTTCTAACTCACCTGTTAACTTGAAATTTGATATAACTATGGAAAAAAGTAAAGGAGTGGAGAGTTTATTGCCTTCAAACTGACTTTGACTTTACATGAGGGTTTTTATGCTTTTAGAAGAATCTTCAGGTTCCTTAAGTTTAATTAAATGATTAAGCACTTAAATCCTTTTTAAACACATGTGTTGCAAACAGATTCTACTTGGATCATCCCTAATGATTCATTGTTGTTAAAGATGCTGTGTTTTTATTTTTCATACACTGTAACTGTCAGGTGCTTCTCTTCTATAGTAAAGCTCCAGTGTTGTGTTGTTTTTGTATTTGTCCATAGAAATATCATCTTTATTCCTTGTGTCCTTTTTTTTTTTTTCCTACTTCTTCAGAAGTCTCTTTCTTTAGGTACCTTTACAACCTTCTAATTTTAAGTGCCTGGGAGACTTTAGAGCATTAGGCTGTTTGGACTAGAGTCTTTAAGAATAGATTTTAAAAGGGCGGAACCAAAAGCCTAAGGGAAAGAAAATTGAGGAAAACTTAACTCAGCTTCTCTTCAGTTTTACAAATAATTGACTAATGCAATATTTCTACATACCAGATAGGACATTCTCTCTCTCTCTTTTTTTTAATCTACAAATATCATTGATATTTTAAAAGCACTTCAAGCATTAGTATTCAGGAGAGCTTTTGAAAATTAAGTCCATTTATAGAAGCATTGCCCAAGGATTAGAACTGAGCTAGACAATAGACCCTAGGATTTCTTTTTTAGTCTATGTAACACCCTTTTGCCCAATATTTTGAGGGAAAAATAAGGATGCACCCTATACATGGGTATGGTGATTACATACTATGGGTGTAAAATCCCATGTATAATGTGCACAAAAACATAGATGCACATTATACACAGCAAAATATGGTAGTTTAATCTTTTTCACTTCAGTTCCTTCTCTTTAAAGTAGAAGTAAAAATATGAGCTCCTCTTTTCTTAGAGGAATGAGATAGAAGTGGAAAGTCTTAAACTCTCTTAGTAAATAAATGCAGTGGGAATGCAATGGAGCCTCATTTTTGCTGTAGCTCTATTGTAAATGGTATGGTTACTTATAAATGAGTCAGATAGTCTCACTATTTCATGACTAAAGAACTACGTGTAAGAGGATAATTTTTGAAGCTTATGATGTTTTGGGTTTCTAGAAACTGGTTTAGTCTATCTTTTTAATTTTTTATAGGATAAATAACAATAGTATAGATGGTGAGTTTGCCATCTGTGCTCAAAGAGCTTTAAAGCACCTTCCTCTGTGATAGGAAAATCCAATTCCTAGATTCTTAATAAACTGTTTTGTATATGTGTTGCTATTTTTTTATGAAAATCTAATTTTAATAAAAATATTGATGTTATTTCTGCATGAATGCATATACTTAATAATTAAATGAATTACTGCATTATGTGGATATTTCTGCATATTTTTATATATGATTTTCCTGCAGTAACATGTTTGACTATTTTATGTTTTTAATTAATGCTTTTCTATTCCTTTATAATCAGTAGAGCTTTAACATTTTGAGATTAATTTCTTTGTAATCCTTTTTCAGGGAACCCATATTGAGATGTCTATTGGAATTATTTTGGGAATTTCAACTATGGCAGGTATTTAATAATAGTATTATTATTGTATTGTCTGTGTATTTAAAAACCATTTTAGTAGGTTAGGTTTAGAAGAGGATAATTTACTGGAATGAGTTTACTCATAAAAATGTTTACTAGTTTGTTTGGGCCAGCGTGGCCCAGTTGGCTGGATGTTGTCCTGCAAAGCAAAAGGTTACCAGTTCGATTCCCAGTCAGGGCACATGCCTGGGTTGTGGCCTGGTCCCCAGTTGGGGCACGTGTGAGAGGCAACCAATAGGTGTTTCTCTCACACATCAATGTTTCTCTTCCTCTTTTCCTCCCTCCCTTCTCCTGTCTCTAAAAATAAAATCGTTTTTTAAAAAGTCTACTAGCTTATATCCTAAATACTATTCATTTAATTCTTAACTTTGTATATGTGACACTCAGAAATTTTAGGTGCTTTAGGTTAGTTAATGGGTAACAGTCTGCTATACTGACTGTTAAAAAAGTATTTCTTTTAATTACTGGTGACCTGAAACCATTCTACCTTTTTTTTTCCCTATTAAATTACTTATTTTTAAGTTGGGTAGAAAAATCAAAGGAAATACAAGATGGAAAATCTATTTTGGTTCTATCTTCTCCTTTCCCCCAATTAACACACTATTCTTCATGATGATCAAATTTGAGGATTTTTTTTTTGTATCTTGTTTATATTGTGTGGAGCACATGAAGTAGATGAATTAATGAAAGAGACTTTTCTTCTCCTTGATTTTCTTGAATTTCAGAGCTGTACAGATAGCTTTACCCTTTTCCAAATACACAAGTTCCCTTAAACAAATACTACCTAAAAGTTACAACTACAAAATATTGTACATGTTTTAATATTGAAAACAAAACGGAAATTGGCTGCCACAACAGAAAAGAACCTACTCCTTGATGGAGTTAGAATAGTATAATCTCAGAAGAATTGTTGTCTATTATGAATTCTTGAGATGTACAGCTATCCAGTGAGTTAATTTGAATATAGTTTAGTTTGAGAAATGTTATAACACTTCCATACCAATGATTTATAGATTATGAAGTGATGCATTATAATGATTTTAATGACATCCATGTAGTAATTCACTTGTTCATTTTTCACTTTTTTTAGCTGCTGCTTTGGGAAACCTTGTGTCAGATTTAGCCGGACTTGGGTAGGTCCATTCATTGATTCATTTGTGCATGTGTGTACTTACTCTTATTTATTTTTATTATTTATTAATTATTTATTATTATTATTATTATTTATTGCTCTTTCTCTTCTTCATTCTCCTAAAAAAGGAACATTTATTTTTGTGTGTGTTTTAGAACTCAATTTTAAAATTTCTAAATCAGTAGTGCTAAATCTTTGGCATGCGTCAAATATCGATGCCTGGGTTGCACCCTAGCCACACGGAATTAGTATTTCTGGGGATGCGGCCCTGACATTTGTGTTTAATAATCTCAAGCAATTCTGATATATGCAGAAAAATGTTCTAAAACTATCATAATGTAAGCAGAGTTAAGGATTTATATGTATATATTTTATATACATTTTCAAGGCTGAGAGAGGATGAATAGTAAGAACTGCTACCATTATTTCACCCTACCCACCTCCCCCTGAGCCCAAAGATGAGAAATATGGCTCAATGGTCAGGATACTAGGAATGTATTCTAGAGAGAGGGAGAGACTTTTAAAGGGAATGATGGCCAAAGCATACATGTATGTATTTGGCCAGTTTTTGCTCTTCTTACTTCATGTGGCAGGAATGAGGAGACAAACTGAGGATGTCTACTTAGAAAAGCCCAGTTTTCTCTCTTTCTACTTTTACACTCATTTCCAAGCAACAAATGGCCAGGGCTGTTTCCTGAGCTTGGGGAAGTCTGGGAAGTATAAGTTAGACTAAGTTGGCATTAATTATAATGATAAATATATTCTCTCTTACTCAATCTTTGGTTCTGTTCCTTCCTTGGTTCATTGGAGTGATGTTTTGAAGTTTAGATTTGGGACTAATATAAGTCTACTCAGCCCTGAAATGTAAGCAAAGGCAGCTTTAAAAGTGCTCTAACCCTATATATTAGACTTCTGCAGTTGGGGCCAAAGCTACTGTTAAAACCAAAGTTTCTTTGCTTTGGGGCCAAGGCAGAAATTTTATATTCCTGGAATTTCTGGAATAAATCTGTAGTGATATCACTCCTCAAATATCCCATTTCTCAGTTTCCAACATTAAGGTTAATAATGATACTATAGTTAATACAATAGATATTTATATTTAATAGAATGAAATGATCCAATAGATTTTAAGGCCATTTAGCTTTAGATTGCTTCATAAAACAATTATTTTTGTTTATAGATAAAGATTTTGTTGGGAGACTTTATATTTGAGAACTATTTCTTCTCTACCTTAAAAAAATCATTAAATAACAAATACCACATTTAATGGGTTCTTAGATGCACAGCTTTTTTAGACTTATATCCGACATTGGGATTTTTTTTTTCCCCATACAGTTTCTATAGTAAGACTGTATCCAATAAGTGATGGTAACTTAGAATGGATAAATACTTGAGATTGTCCTGAAAATTCTAGGCTGTTTTTGTTTTTATCTCTATCTGATAAATTTTGGAAGTTTTCTTTCTGATGACAGTTATTAATTTATATCATATGTAAAAGTGCTTTGAGTTTAGATTAAGTGTATAACTTGTAATTATTTTACAAAATGTATGTACCTTGAGTTAGTCTTTTTAAACCAATAGTAGGGAATAATTTCTCTAAATCAATTAATTTACTTATGTATTAAATATAGTAATATGAAAATAGTTTTAAACTGGATATGTTTATACACAATAAAAATGAGAGTTAATGAAAATGTTTATACCATTTCTAGAGTGCCAATTAATTATTGGCATAAAATTATTTTGTTTCTCTTTGTAGTAATTAGTTTCTTACTACCTGAGGATATTTGTATGTCTCTTTAACAACCTATATTCTGTCCGCATGCATTTAAAGACTTGCAGGCTACGTCGAAGCTCTGGCTTCCAGGTTAGGCCTGTCAATTCCTGATCTCACACCAAAGCAAGTTGACATGTGGCAAACGCGTGTTAGTTCACATTTGGTAAGTACTTTATATGGCTTGTGATAATGAATTTGGGTAGCCAGATCAAGTTCAGTCCTTTTTGAGACAAAAATCTATTTGAATGGAGCTTTTAAATTGTCCAAGCCTTGGCAGTTTTCAGTGAAAGAGTAATTTTTTATTGACTCATTTTTTGTAGGTGTACTCGATTTTTAAAAATTTGTTCATATGACTCAGTTAATCTTAAGGTATCAGTTATGTGCTAGGCATAAAATGAATAATAAACTATGGTTCTTTTTGAGGATTGTTTAGGTAGAGAAACAGACATTTAAACGAATTATAATTTAGTGTGTTAGGTACAGTAATAGAATTTTACACTAGATACAGCAATAGCACAAGTAAAAGAATTAACACTTTGTGGGGAGAAATTTCTTTTGGTGAGGAGATTTCTTGGTGATTATTAGATCTAAGATGATTTTTTTTATTATTGGGGAAACATTTACTAGGTGAACAAGAGATTCCAAGTATATTGACTAGCCAGTAGAAAAGCATGATTAAAACAGGGTGTGTTCAGAGAAATACAAGAAATTAGGTATTGCTGGGATATACTCTGCAGTAGTTGTAGATAGAAGCAGTATTAGGACACAGCACTGGAGATGTAAGAATAGATCAGACAAGAAAGACATTTTTCTGTTGATGTATAAATAATGCTGAGGATCTTGAACCTCATACCCAGGTGATGGAGTGCTCTTTTAAATGGGAAGGAAGGAAGGTGGGTGGGTCACAGTGCCACCAATTAAGTCAAGAAGAGGAGGAAGAACATGTTTGTAAGGGAGGAGAACGAGTTCTGTTTTGGGCATGTTGGATTTGAGATGCTAGTAGGACACTCAAGTGCTGACATCTAGTAGGCATCTGGATTAAAGGTCAAGAGTTAGAGGTCTGAAATAGAGAGAATGGATCTTCCATTCATTCAGCAACTATTTACTGCTTACCTATTGTATGCAGGGTACAGATCTAGGAGTTTTGAATATACTGGTTAACAAAACAAGATTTTTTTTTCCTGGTGGATCTTTCTAGCAGCCTGAGGGGAGAGAAGCGATTTAAAAACCTGACAAAATATTTAGTATATTAGCAGTTCACAGTATTATGGGAATTTAAAAAAAAAGAAAGCTGAACGGAGTCAAACAGGCTGGGGGTGCTAGGATGGAGGCGGACCGCAGTGTTAGATAGGAGGCCACTGCAGGCCTCGGCGAAGAGGCTGGTGGTAGTTGAAACCATGTGAGGAGATGACTGCGTACGGCAGTGGTTCTCTAAGTGTGATGCCAGGACCTGCAGGATCAGCAGTACCTGGGAGCTTATGAATTCTGCAAATTCTCAGGCTCCACCTTAGACCTATCTGTTGCTGTATAAAAAAATTATACATGTGTTTGGGGGGGGGGGTGTGTGTCCATATCCTGCAATTTGTAAATAGACTGAAGTGAGACTGGCTAATTTCAACCAGAGTTCGTGAGGAGTAAGGATATTCTAACATTCTCATAATTTGGCTTAACATTTTAACGCTACAGTGGGGATCAAGAGATTCTTTCCCTGGGGTCTTCTCACATAAACGATAGTTCTGTTTTCTTTCTATATTATAAGTATGCCCCTTTCCCCTCTTCTATAACAAAAGCACTTCAATTTTTTTTTAAAGATTTTATTTATTTATTTTTAGAGAGAGGGGAGGGAGGGAGAAAGACAGGGAGAGAAACATCAGTCGGTTGCCTCTTGCACACTCCTAACTGGGGGCTCGTCCTGCAACCCAGGCATGTGCCCTGACCAGGAATGGAACCAGCGAGCGACCTTTCAGTTCATAGGCCAGTACCCAACCCACTGAGCCACACCAGCCAGGGCAAAAAGCACTTCAATTATTAAACTATTATTTTTATATATATGTATTTGTGCATGGTATGTTTTGATAAAACCCTATAACCATATTCCGTAGTTGTTGACTCTGCTTGTTTTATGTTAGGATTAAACCTTCCATTCTGTAACATAACATTTGGTTATAAACAGCCTATAGTGGTTGAAGTTAGTGATTAGCCATCTAGTTATAACACATGCTAACTCTGAAAATCTATATAATAGAATATATGCCAATACACATGCAGGTTCCAACTGACATATGTTGTATTTTTAAAGCCTTGTTTGTAATTTGATTATTTGAAACTCTGAAAATATTTTCTTGCAGAACAATATTACAGATGTATTTAAGTCCCATTAGCTCCAGTACAGTTAACTATAGGGACTAGTATCATAAGACCTGAAAACAGCATATATAAGTAACTGTTCTTAAGAGTGGAAAAATATGTGTTAGGTCCTGGATCAGGGAGCCAGAACAGGATACCCCATTTCTTTCCTCCTTCTCTGCCTATTGACTTTATGCCAATTGAGATAATTGGGTTGAAATTCATTGACTGGCATTCCTACAATGAGGGGGAAGAAAGCCTTGGTTTACATGGATGATAGCAGACATTCTAACAGAAAGGGTGGGAAGTGGAAGTGATGGAATCTATTAGCAGTGGTCATTTCATTCATATATTCTATTATGTAGAATTTCAGAGTTAGCGTGCGTCATATATAAATATATATAGGGGGAAGTCAGGCATCTAAAATAGAATGTAGCCTCTATAGGTATATATAAATAAAAACATTATCTAAGGTCAAAATAAGAATCTAGGTGAGTTTTTTTTCCTGTCTTTTGACATTAAAATATATGTACAATTTTTAATAAGTATTTTCTACTTGAATATTTCTTTGATGTTATTTTTATGACAATTTGATAAAAAATTTCCTGTTTGCTTTGAACTCTAAATATCATTTGTTCTAGTATCTTTTTGTAGCTCATTTTTATATTTAAGTTATTATGATCAAATGATATGCAGTCAGTTGAATTTTATAGTGCATAGTAACTGTTCATAGTAAGTACTTAAGCAAGGATTCCTCTTAAAGGGATAAAATAACTTTCAAAAAATGTTTTCTTTTGTTTCCTTAGGGCAAAGCTGTTGGGGTGACTATTGGCTGCATTCTAGGAATGTTTCCCTTGATTTTCTTTGGAGTAGGTGAAGACGAGGAAAAACTGGAAAAGAAAAATTAACCCTCTTAGAGTACCTATAAAAAGATGTAAACTAATGTACCTCAATTATTAAATATGCTGTCACAACATTTAGGTATTAAGACAGTAACAGTGTATAGATATGGGATCAAATAATTTGAGCATGTATTATGGAAAACACTAACTTATTGTGGCTTGGTTTTATTAGGACATCTTTTTTTTTTAAAAAAAACAACTGTTTAGTATCATTTTGTGTAAATTGTTGAAATGCTCTTTCATCAATGGCAGTCAACATTTTATTTTTCCTTCTCTTTCTTTATATATCCAAATATCATTTAAGTATTAGTCACTGATGTACTGTACTGACTTGGGGGTTTATTTGTTACTTAATGTGTACATGCATGAAAGCCTTTTCTGTTGTTGTGTTCTGTATAGTTATAATTCAACCTTAAGATTTTTCCAAATTACTTAAGATGTTTAATATCAGTTGAAGGTTTTTTACTCTTTCTGGCAACATCAATTTTGTACTGTTTCACAGTAAACATTCACAATTATATAATTTGTCATCTTTTTTTACTCCCACATCTGTTCCAAATGGATGCAGACTTTAGATATTTTAAGTTTTTATTACTTATTTTAATTTTCTAACCTTACTGTCTCAAGTGCCAGAGGTCAGTTAGAATGAGCAATTATGTGGTCTCCCTACTTACATAAAACCATATATGTTAAGTATCTTATTTTGAAGTGATGTTTTTACTTTTAATTTCTCAATTTTGCATAATTAAATGGTGGTTTTTGACTCCTGAGAGGAAGAAAATTATTACTTTAGGTTCTTTTTAATGGTGATTGTGGAATTAGAGTGAATAAGAACTAAGAGTTTTGACATGACACGTGGAAATTAAGAGGCTAAAAAAATTTTTTTTGAGAAATAGAAAATGGGAACTGTCAAGAAGGTTTATGGTATAAAAGGTAAAGTTGAAAGGATGTTTGTAAAGTTAGTGAGATACAACTTATATTGTTTGGGAAGGATTTTTCTCCCCAAAGTGTCTTCTCATCTGAATTGAATGAATCTGAGTTCTTCCTACTCATAGTCCTGATGTTTTTGTATCTTGTTTAGTGAATTTTACTTCTGGATAACTTTTGAAGTGAAATTAAATATTTTATATATACAATATATTAAAAAAGATATATACACATATATCTTTTTGGTATATATAGTCTAATTGTCAAAAGTTACATGAGTTGAAATTCTCCCTCTTTTTGGTCTCTTTTTCGTCTCTTGGGGTATTTAAATCATATTCTAGGCTGAAGCTACTGATTTTCAATCTTGTATATCTGACTTAAATGTAACCATGTAGGAATCATAAAATTTAACTTTATGAACCCTTAAAGTTTGTTAGCATGTGGCTTGTACACGTGCTAAAAAATTACTCTTATGTGTAAGAGTAATTAAACACATCGTGGAGGAGAAAAACTGAAATTAAAATTACTACTTGGGCTGCTGAAATTATTTATGTTGATAAATAAATGCAAAGTAAAAGAAATTTATAAGATGGCTGTATTTACAGCTACTGTATTTAAAAATTTTATTTGTATATATTTTCTTTGGGGGAGCTGATTTTCCCACTAGACAATTTATCATAAATTCTCTTCGGTGCACTTCAAAATAATTTAGTGCTATCCTTTAATCATAGATTTTTGAAGGAATAAAATAAATCATACAATATGAAAATAAATATATACTGTTCTTATTATGAACAGATAACATGACAGTCTCATTTGATTAAATTAGAATTATAGAACTTGGTATCTTATTAAACAGGATATCATACGCACACCAAATTGTTTTTTATTATTTCAGATGAGAGGACTAGAGTGCTTATTAAAAATTTTTTTGTAAATGTTTACATGCTTTTGTCCCTAACTTGTCCTTTCTGTTTTTTGAAAAAGTATTTTACTGTGGTGCTTAAATTTTTTTCTTATTAATTAAATCCCATATCCAGAAACCTTGCCTGTGAGTTGAGAAGAGGCTTTTGATTGCTGTATATTTGTTCTTCTGTTGAAAATAACCCAGTCCTACAAAATCTTTCTATTTAGTTGAACATCTACAGAGTTATTTAAGATGTCTAAACATGTAACATAAAATCATCATATTGAAAGATATCTTAATTTATGGACACAGTAAAAATTTGCATCATTCAGGTAATTACTTTTCAAAAACTAGAGCCCTTTTGTCCTTACGATACACTTTTTTTTCAAGAAATTACATTAGTATGGTGCTTTGCACAAAGTGATTTCTGAAAAATGGGTCCCTTTAAGATAATTATTTTATGTAATCATTAGTTTGTTATTTGTCACAAAGAACCTTATTTCAGATTGAAACTGGAATTCTTATTGCTCATATTAGCTATCTAATTGTTGGGAGCATTATAACCGTGGTGAAATGCAACATGAGCTACTTCTGAGTACTGTTTGTTTAAAATTCATTTTGTCCATGTAATGATTTATTGATTTCTTGATGCATGTAAATTGGGTGCACTTTGTTGCCACTGTATGTTAAATGGTGACCAATGTTTTTACAGAAGAATTGAACAAAAAAGTCTTTTAAGAAATTTGGAATGTGGTTTTGATTTTGAAATTTGGTTTTCTTCCTAATCTCAGAAAGTTCTGGTAATTGTGTCACTAAAGGAAATAGGATTAATAGATGCAGATTTGTTACATAGTTGTGACAATGTTCCTGAGACAGTAAAATGGAACCATTTATCCCCTTGCCGAAATCCACACTTGTGATACAACATACAATTATGAGAGAAGAATGATCCCATGTGGAGATTATTTATCTTTAAGAGGATGTGAAAAGAAGCTATAGAAAGCGTGGCATAAATTACATTGATAGGCACCTATAGCAGTCATATTCAAGCCTTCTATATAATAATGCCTCATTTACTTTGCTCCTTTTCTCTAGAAGGTGAACTATGAAGGTAATGGAAATTTATCTTTACAACAAAAGTTTGTCCAAACCATTTTGAAGTAAATCTTCCTAATTTTAGAATTATATTTTCTTGCTGTCTTAAGAGTGAATTAAATGTAATGTAATCTTTTTCTTAGTGGCTAAGCATCATTTTCTTGGACCTGATTATTGTGTTGTACTACAGTATCTCGGGAATCTGGATTTTATTTCACATTTTTATCCTTTTCTTTTCTTTTCTTTTTTTTTTTGCTGTTCTCACTTCTGGCAACTGCTTTGTCTTTCTAATTTGCCGCTTCTCAGCTGTATGGACTTAGAAACTAGATAGCGAGTTTTATCATAAATTATTTGGGAAATATTAATAAATTGACTATGGAGCCTGAGTGACTTCATGATGATGATGATGATAAATATAATGTTAGATCCCTTTTATTAAGCACTTATTTATTTTTATGTACTGTAGTGTTTTATACCCATTATAACATTGAATCACTTCAATAACAATGTTAAGTTGATGTTATTATTATTATTCCCATTTCATGCTGGGTAAATTGACACATGTAGAGGTTAATTTGTCCACCATGTCACTACTGAGTGGACTAGAATCTAGCTTTGTCCAAGTATAAAGCTATATACTCAACTACTGTGTTCTCGACTACTATGCGATAGGGACATCAGTTGCATGGGCTACAATTTGTAATGTCTGTTCTCTGGTAGGTTCCTTGTTACCTGCATATCTGTGGAGTCACTTTCTCATCTATAACCTAAGGGAGTTGTACTTACACTCTCAAAGTCTATTTACCAAACCCTGTGTTTTGGTTGCATACTATGTGCTAAGAACTGTTCAAGGCACTGAGTGAACAGCCAGGCATCCCTGCCCTTTTAAGCTTATACTGTGGGGGACATTAGTTAGAGAGGAGAATACAGAAAAGCAAATATACACTTAAATATATTTTATGCCAGATGGGATAAGTTCTATAGATATAAATGAACCAAGGGAGAAAGTGCCAGTGGTCATATGTGGGAGGGTGAGAGGTTATTTTTATATAGAGTGGTCAGGGAAAACCTGAAAGTTGTGAGCATAAGAAATACTGAGAATAGAAGGTGTCATGCTAGGTTCTAGAAAGTGATGTTAAGAAAATATCCAACATGTGAAATATATTTCACTTTGGAATGCATTGAAGATTTTTTGGGTTTTTGTTAGGTTTGTTGGGGTTTTGTTTTTTTTGTTTTTTTGCATTATTCACGTTTTGTGGATTAAGCTGAAAGATTAATACTGAAATACTAAGATTAACACCCCTGCATATTCACTGACATCAATAGAGGGAAATGGCTCAGAAGCATGGGGAAACTACCCTGGAATTCATAAAGTCAGTAGGTAATCCATCAGCAAATAATTGAGGGTTTGTTGTGTGCTCATAATGAAACCTTACTAACAGATTGCTTTTCACCAAAGCAATAAATGCTACTGGCATATGAGTTGTAACACTTAAAGTTTTTTTTCCCCTGTAAGTTTTTTGAAATGGAATAGTAATAAAAGCAGAGGCAACAATTTTAATTTTAATGTTGAAGTTTCAGGACTTTCAGGGTCTACTGATCCTATGCTGCCAGCCATATGAAGCACATAGTGTCTTGTATTGGTTTTTATGTGAAACTTTTAACATCGAACATATGTTAGTGTTGTTGATACATTTATGAATGAGAGAAATCTGAGCAAATTTTTAAATTCATAGAAAGATTAAAGAGTGAGCATCTGAGAGATTTTAGAATTTCTCTACAACTCAAATCAAACTTTTTGTTTGAATGAATAAAATATGAGGTGATGACTAAAGAGTTAAACTCAAAGGAACTACTTTTGCAGGGAGATGAGAACCCTCAAAAATTGTAGGATAAAGGTATTTTCTATGAGAACTGAAATTCATAAAGACTTGGCATTTGCTATAAATATGAAAGCTATATATTTATATTGTGCTTTATAATTTATAAAATACACAGATGCTAGACATAAATGGGGTTTAAGAGAGGTAACTGAGTCAAAGAAAACTCTTAAGTACTTTAATGAGAATTAAGATTTTTTTCCTTTTTTATTGAGGGATACTTGATGAACAATATACTAGTTTCAGGTGCACAACATAATGATTCAACATTTGTATACATTGCAAAGTGATCACCACACTAAGTTACGAAGTTTTTTTCTCTTGTGATAAGAACTTTAAGATTTACTTAGCAACTTTAAATTTTGCAATATAACATTATTGACTATAGTCAATAATGTAAACCAAGCTGTGCGTTACATCCCTATGACTTATTTTATGCCTGGAAGTTTGTACATCGTGATCCCCCTTCACCCACTTTGCCCACTACCAAACCCCCTTCCTTCTGCCAACCACCAGTCTGTTTTCTGAATCTATGAGATTGGCTTTATTTTGTTTGCTCTTTTGTATTTTTGTTAGATTCCACATATAAGTAAAATCAAACGGTATTTGTTTTTCTCTGACTTATTTAACTTAATACCCTCAAGTTACATCTGTGTTGTCATGAATGGGAAGATTTCTATTATTTTTATGGCAGAGTAGTATTCCAGGGGCTGGGGGTGTGTGTGTGTGTGTGTGTGTGTGTGTGTGTGTGTGTGTGTGTGTACACCAAATCTTTATCCACTCATCCATAGATGGACACTTAGGTTGTTTCCATATCTTGGCTACTATAAACAATGCTGCAATGAACATAGGAGTGCGTATATCTTTTCAAATTAGTGTTTTCTTTGTCTTTGGATAAATACCTAGAAGTGGAACTGTGGGATCTTCTATTTCTAAATAGATTTTTTAATAGATTTTGAGGAATCTCCATGCTGTTTTCCATAATGGCTGCACCAATTTCTATTCCTACCAACCATACATGAGTGTTCCCTTTTCTCCACATCCTCATCATGACTTGTTATTTATTGTCTTTTTAATAATAGGCATTCTGACAAGTGTGAGGTGATATCTCATTGTGGTTTTGATTTGCATTTCCATAATTATTAGCGATACAGAGCATCTTGTGCGTTTTGGCCATCTGTATGTTTTCTTTGGGAAAATGTATTAAGGTCTTCTGCCCATTTTTTAATTGGATTTTTTTTGTTGTTGTTATTGAGTTGAGTGAGTTATTTATATACTTTGAATATTAACTCCTTATCAGATATATGATTTGGTATCCCCTCCCATTTATTAGGTTGCCTTTTTGTTTTGTTGAGGGTTTCCTTTGCTGTGCAGAAGCTTTTTAGTTTGATATAGGCCTGTTTGTTTACTTTTGTTTTTATTGCCCTGGCCTTTGAAGTCAGATCCATAAAACCGTTCCTAAGATCAATGGCGGCAAAGCAGTCAAAAGCAAATAACTATTGACGAGCCATCGGAATATCTTAATAATTATGCATTTTATAGCAAAATAGGTAAGGGCAATACATTTCCCAATTTTATAAATGAGAAGAGTTGCAAAGTTGTGTAAGTAGCTAACCTTTATTTAAATACAACTCTCCTGATTCCAAATTCTAAGCTGCTTTTTTTTTCCCTCAAATACTATAGGATTACAATATGGAGAGGGGGTAGAAAACTTAGGAAGGGTTGGCATTTTTTTCTCTTTTTTTATTTTTTTAAAGTATATTTTATTAACCATGCTGTTACAGTTGTCCCATTTGTTTCCTCTTTGCCCCCCTCCACCCAGCATCCGCTTCCTTCCAGCAACCCCCCCCGCGCTCTTAGTTCATGTCCGGGGGTCATGCGTGTAAGTTCGTTGGCTTCTCTCCTATACTATTTTTAATATCCCCCCTGTCTCTTTTGTTCCTACCAGTTATGCTTCTGGATCCTTGCACCATTTCTGCCTTTCTTCCCCTTCCCCCTCTCAGCTCATAACCCTCCAAATGATCCCCATACCTATGATTCTGTTCCTGTTCTTATTGTTTGCTTAGTTTTCGTTTTTTAGATTCAGTTGTTGATAGTTGTGAGTTTGTCATCATTTTAATGTTCATAATTTTGATCTTCTTTTTGTTAAATAAATCCTTAACATGTCATGTAATAATGGCTTGGTGATACTGAACTTTAACTTTACCTTATCTAGAAAGCCCTTTTAACTGCCCTTCAATTCTGAATGATAGCTTTGCTGGGTAGAACAATATTGGCTGTAGGTCCCTGCTTTTCATGACTGCGAATAATTCTTGCCAGTCCCTTCTAGCCTGCAAAGTTTCTTTTGAGAAATCAGCTGACAGTCTTATGGGAATTCCCCTGTAAGTAACTAACTGCTTTTCTCTTGCTGCTTTTAAGATTCTCTCTTTATCTTTAAACTTTTGCTTTTTAATTATGATGTGTCTTGGAGTGGGCCTCTTTGCATCCATCTTGTTTGGGATTTTGTTCTTCCTGGACCTGCATGTATATTTCCTTTGCCAAATTAGGGAAGTTGTCTTTCATTATTTTTTCGAATAGATTTCCAGTATTTTGCTCTTTCTCTTCTCCTTCTGGTACCCCTATGATGCAAATGAAGTTGTCTCAGAGGCTTCTTATACTACCTTCATTTTTTTTATTCTTATTTCTTCTTCTTCTGCTTGGTTGTTTTTTGCTTCCTTATGTTCCAAATCATTGATCTGATTCTCAGCTTCATCCATTCTACTTTTGTTTCCCTATAAGTTGTTCTTCATTTCAATTAGCAAATCCTTCATTTCTGACTGGGTCTTTTTTATGCTGCTGAGGTCCTCACTGAGTTCCTGGAGCATCCTTATAATCTGTGTTTTGAACTCTGCATCCGATAGATTGCTTATCTCCATTTCATTTAGCTATTTTTCTGGAGTTTTTATCTGTTTTTTCATTTGGGCCATGTTTTTTTGTCTCCTCGTTTTGGCAACCTCCCTGTGTTTGTTTCTATGTATTAGCTTTTGCTGCGATGACTTTCTGTCTTGGTAGTGTGGCCTAATGTAGTAGGTGTCCTGTAGGATCCAGTGGCACAGCCTCCCCTGTCACCCAAGCTGGGTATTTGAGGTGCATCCTTCACGTGGGCAGAGTCCACCCTCCTCTTGTAGCTGAGCCTTGGTTGCTGCTGGCAGATCAATGGGAGAGATTTACCCAGGCCAGTCAGCTGCAAGGACTGGCTGTGACCACCGACCACCAGCCTCCGCCCTTCGTGGAGGATCATCTGTGCAGGGGCAGGGTGGTGGTGCTCCGAGGTGGTCTGCAGCTGTCCACTGGGTGCATTAGCCCTGGTGTTTCCCCAGTGGTGCAGGCCAAGGCCAGCCCCCACTTGTGTTTTGTCCAGGGGAACCCTGCCTAAGCTATAAAGCAATCTGAGAAGGCTGCTCTTTGTGCTGGGCTTGGAGATGCCCAGGCGAAGCCAAGCTGTAAAACTAAACTAGCTGCTGCTAGTGCTGGGCCTAGAGCTCACTGAGGCCAGCTGTTGCTTGATAGGATTTAGGAAATTGTGAAGCAGCCATTCATATGGAAAAGTTACTGTTAACAGCTTGGGTGGGCCTATAAGTTGGATGGGAGGAGTCTCTGGGGATCTCCAAGGCGGGTCAAACAGTGTTAGCCAGGTTGGTGGAGTCTCAGATATGGTGCCAGCCTGAGGGCTCTATGGCTCTGCAGGGGGAGGGCTCAGAAAAGGAACACTGTCCTCTGCTCTCCCCGACGCCAGATACTTCAGCCTCTCCCAGTATGCCACCGGTGCCCTTCAAGCTGCCGCCCCGGCCCTGGAGCTCAGAGGGAGGGAGTCTGAGCAGGTGAGTCCGTGTGTGGGTTCTTCAAGAGAAACTGCCTGTGGCTCCAGAAGTTCCTTCCACCTACTCAATCGCCGCCAGTTTTTGTAGCCAGAAGTTGGGGGGACTTCCTTCCTGGCACTGGAACCCTGGGCCAAGGGGCCTGGTTTGGGAGCTGGGCCTACTCACTTCTGAGATATTCCTCCCGAATTTTTACCCACCACACATGAGAGACCAACCTATTTCACGTTTGCGCCCCTCCTAACAGTGATGGATGTGGTTTCTTTAATTCTGTAGTTGTCAGACTTCCATTCAAATCTATTTCTCATGGTTCTGTGTGATGGTTGTTCTATATTTTAGTTGTAATTTTAGTGTGGATGTGCAAAGAGGCGAGCCATGTCTGCCTACGATGCCACCTTGACCGGAAGCTCCTTTTTCTTAGGGGTTTTATAATCACAACGTGGGTATTCTGGTTTTTGGTACCATGCTTTCCATATTTATATTCCCTTCTGTAGGAAATGAAAGTTCGCAGAAGAACAGTGCTTTAGGTACTAAAAATAAACTGTCCTCATTTATTTTAAGTAATTTCTATTTCTAAGCAGTTAGATTTCCAGATAAGTATCATGTTATAGAACAGCTCGGCCAATAGCTTCATCAAATTCTTTAGTCTTTCCTAGAAATTGCAGCCTGTGTTTTCGATCTCCGCTATTAACACATTACCCTTTGCATGCCATCTGATATTTGGCATGTTTTATAAACAGGCTGAAAACTCTAGGCTGGATGCCAGCTATATTTGGCTTTTATAATTATATCTTCCTGCAATATTCTTCCCACTCAGACAACTAATAAATAGTCGAACTAATTTAAAATGCATCTTTTTTGTTTCTGCAAAATTTAGAAATTCAAAATGCAGATCAGAAAAAAAAAATGTTTTCTGCTCTCACTCCTACCATTGTGTGTTTGGGGTCCAGTAATGAACCAGATTATGAGGGATGTGGATCAACAGAATCACGAGGTTCAATTTCTCCTCTGGAGGATCTTCTGGTATCAGAGAGCTGGACAACCTCTGGGTGCTCTGCAGACTCCAGAATTGTGTGGTTCTGAGTGACCCGCATGCTCCACAATGGTGCTAAGGTCTTGGAATACATTAATTATAGTTTTTCGTATATAATTATATAAAGCAATAAAGTCATTTTGACATTCATATTAATTTTTATTCTGCAGGAAGACTTAATGTAAGTAACCTTTTAAGTAAAAACAGTGAATTACTTCAATTCAGGAAAAACATAAATGAAATAGAGCAAGACATCACTTCAGTTTAAATTCGTGAGTTACATTCTCCATGAGCCCATGACCCCCTGCTGATACCATTAGAGCACATTGTTTCACCTCCCTCATGTGATATCTCAGCACTGAAGCAAAGGCTGCTCCTTCCTTATCAGGTCCTTGGTATTTACCACAATTTGTGTTATAGGTTATCCCTCTCTGGTTTTTAACCTCAGTATTTTGAAATTTGTAAGGCTCGATAAGAGAATCGTGAACTCCTTCAATACACATGGATAGACTTAAGCTCTCATTCATTGCCAGTGTTTCTTGTACACCGTCAGCCTCTGAGCCGCTGAGAGCAGTGGTTGCTGCTAATAGACCTGGCGGTAGGTCATGTAGGGAGACCTACTTTCACAGCTGAAGTCCTTTGCTTTTTGTAAACTGTGTTCATGGTGTTTGTCATTTGGAATCCAACAATTCTAAGTCAATCAAGTCCTAGCTGTGGGAGCTTACACGTGAGGACCAATCTCTCTTAGACTGTCCCCATGTATAAAATTAAGACACTAATATCTCTTACAGAGTTTTAAGAATTGAGGTTATATATTTATAATGCCTGGTGAATATAGAAGGTGCTGGGAAGGTGGAAGGTGTTCCATAAATGGTTGCAGTGAAGGGAGTACTTTTTAGGACTCTTTCTCATGTCTTCCATTTGGTGGTTAAATATTTGAAAGAAAACGGACCCTGTTGAATTATTTTTTTCAAAAGAATTTATTTTTAGAGAGAAGGGAAGGAAGAAGGGGAGAGAGACCTCA